GGTAATATACTTCAAACTGTCAAACTGTAAATTGTAAATTTATTTTTCGTTTTAGTCGTGTCTTAAAATTCATACTAAGTACTTTTGTGCTCTACATATTTCTACCATATATTTCCCGCAGCACCCTTAACACTTAAAGGCACACAATTCTTGAATACAATAAGAGAAAAAAAAATCTTCCTCACAGTTGCCCATTTCATAATCGCCCATTGAATCCCCTGACTGCTACATTTTCATTTTACGTGTGTATTTATTATAAAGCACACACATTCCTTTTTCTTCGGCATGCCGGTTCCTCCACATGAGACGTCTTCGAGTGCCATTGAAAATCCCGGCGTTGCGAATCGTTTCAGACCAAGTATACCCTCGCATCTGTTCGTTAGTACCATTCGAGTCGCCCGCAAAATTTTGATTAGTTTTGCTTAGTGACCTTGTTTGGCGCTTTGCCTTCCCATCTGCCTATAACGAATCCGTCATTTTTCAGCCGTTTTTAAATTCTTCAATTCATAAATTTCATTCCGACGTAAAATCGTGCGTTTTAACCGACCGAATCTCTATAGATTGAAATGAGCGGGATTAATTATTGCTTTAACTCAGTGCTAATGTAAGCTTTGAGTGCGGTTTTCGTTTTTGTTAGTGATTTGCAACAGACAAATGACTTGCAGTATGCGCTCAGGCCGCTATTTTACTGAAATAACTTCCAGCAGTGCAGGCGGAACAACAAAAATGCACTGTGGAAAATATGATGGCTAAATGAAAATTTCATTTCATCGTGATGCAGGAGGAAAAAGTGCTAAATGTTTTTCAGTTCAAGCTACAAATTGAAAAATAAATGCATACTTTTTCGTTTAATCAATGCAGGATGAAATAGTGCTTTTTGTAAAACCACCCATGCTGCGTAGAGTTCTAGAAAAGTGTGTTCTAAGCAAGGTTTTGCGAATTCAATTTAAGATACACGTAGAAATTAGTTTGATTTGAATGAGTCGATCGCCTCAAAGCAGAGGATTCAAATTATTAATGAACCCACAATCGAACAAAATATTCTAAATATTATTATTATAATTCTTTTCGAGAAAGTGAGAACAAATTCAGTGGGCTAGTAAAAAAAAATAGTAGTAAGCGAAGAAAGATAAGCTCCTCCGTAGTCTAGTGGTAAGGACACCCGCCCGGCAAGCGGTAAACGTGCGATTGGATTCCCACCGGAGAAGCAACATTTTTCTTCGCTTACCTACAAAATTATCATTAATAAATATCGCCGGGCGCATTCTATATTTTCAAGAAAATAGGGGGACTCATTCTTAATTTGACGAATAAACAATTTTGTGATGACGTGATTAACATAGATAATACTTGTAACAAACCATTACAAATGCAAGGCAAAAAATACACAAGTGGCAAATCGTCCCATAGACTCAGACTATATTTCCCTAGCTCGGGAAGTAAAAATTGTCTTGATTTCGATGAGTTTGTCGCCTCAAAATAGGGTACTAAAGTTATTGATACAACCACAATCGAACAAGATGTTTTGAATATTATTATTATTATTATTCTTATTAAATAAAGGTGGGCGTGTTCTCACGTTTTCGAAAAAGTGGGGTAATTTCATCCAAATAAAAATTGCTATGACGTCAAAAATATAGATAATACACAATGTGAGAGAAAAAAAAGAAAGAAAAACGAAAAGCCAAGCCTGTAATCGAACGCGCGATGTCCGGTCCGTATTCTCACGCTCAACCACTAAGCCACAACCGGGATGCCTTACGCTAATCGTAAAGTACTATTATGTGTGCATTGTGTTTTTGCAAAAATTTCGACGGTAAGGGAAATACTCAAAGCAGATTCGTAAACCACATTTATAGAGGACGTCATCAAATTGTTGGTGGGAATGATTAGCAAGATTTTGGTAAGTATTTAACTATCTACATTTTACATGATACTTCTAATATATGTACAAAATTTGACAACAATCGGTCCAGCAGTTTCGGAGATTAAGTGTCTAATAAAAATGGATACAGACAGAGTGACAGAGAGATGGAAACGGGAGACTACTTTTTTCGTACTGTAGGGGTCATGAAACGTCGAGAAAATATAAAAGTGGTCATTCGTCCGATGGACTCGACTACTATACTTTCTTGGCTTACGCTCGGGAAGTAAAAATATGCTAAAATTTGGATCCCAGAGCAGGAATTAACGTGGAAATAAAAATGAGACAAATCAAGAATCGAAACATTCTGGAAAATTTAATTCCAAAACGAGTTTATCCTGACACAGTATAGCAGATTCGCATTTTAACTAAAGAAAAGAAAAACATGTGTAAAAGAGCAGTAGATGATGTAAAATAAAAAGAATGCGATACTATTTAGCGAGAAACTTATTCAGTATTCAGTTATCAATTTTTACATACATGAAAAGAAACTTAGAACACCGAAATTTTGACAACCTGATCTAGACGTCATTCTAAAAATAGAGGTTCTTGGGAACAAAAATTCAATAAAATGTCATTTGTTTCTTCTGCACGAAAAATCGAATGTAAAAAATTGTCTAAACATATAGGGACATAAGGAAAAAATTGCAAAAAAAATAAATAAAATATGCAACAAAAAAACGTCAAAAAATTTGATACAAAAATAAGACAAAATTACCGTTCAAAATAACCTTCATAAAAGACAAAAAAAATGTTAAAAAAATAAGACCTAATTTAAAATTAGTGCAAAATTGTAACCTTTAGGCTTCTTCTTCTGCTATAGTTTAGCGAATACCCTCGTCTTCATTTACGAACCCACTGCAACAAAAAACACATGAGATGTATACATAAAGAAAAATACCATAGAAGTTAATATCAACTTTATACATACTAATTTTTAATAACGTTGTAATTCAACATTACACAGGTTTAGTAAGTAGGTAGGATTTAAAAAGTACTAATTAGAAAAAGTTTTGAAATCACAGTATAAATTCTAAGCAAAATTTTACATTTACATCACATGATTCTTGATGAAAATGAATAAAAAATCTATGAAACAGATTCAAAATACACAAAAAAAAGAGTTACAGATATTATTTGCCTAAAAATTCGCTAACAGATGAACGGAAACGGAAAATCGATGTTTTGACTTCATAAACTGGAAAATGTCCAGAAAACAAGAAATGAAAGTTTAATAAAAATAACCCTTTTACAATACTTTTGGAATTTGAGAACATTCTAAAGTTAATTTTACCGAAACTTCAATAAACACTTCTCAATAATCTCAAACATTGAAAGCCACTTCTTTCAATTAAATGATTATCAGAAACGTTTTTTTGCTGATTTACTAGTGAACTTTTAGTTCTATGTCCCAAATACAAAAATGTTTTCAAAATAATTCTGAAATTTAAAAAAAACAATAACGATAATTGCGATGAATAATATTATTAATTTCAGTGATGCGTAAAACAAAGACATAAACATAATGGGAACAAATCAAAATTGGATTTAATTTTTAAATAATTAACGTTGGATTTGTACAATACAACTACTTCTCCCTTAACATCCGCATTTATATATCAATTTAGAATTAAAGAACTGAAGAAATAAGACACAAAACATTGAATAATAGACACTTGCCCTTAAATCCCGATTTCCTTTCCTCCCGCGCCGATCCTTGCAGACTCCTTCCTCATGGGCACATCACAACACTCACCTTTCATTTTAAGCCCGAAACCAAATTATTTTTAACAAAAATAAACCTCTTAAACAAACTAATTTATAGACCGCACCCGCCCTAAACAAAGTTGAGAGCGACAGAACTCCTTCGCATAACACGAAAAATGCACAAAAAATTCTCGCCAATACCTTATCATCAGACATTTTTTGCGGAGTTTTTTCACATCGATGCAGCGCACAGTGAATGAATCTTAATTAAAATACTGCAACATTACTCATTAACAGAACATTATTTTCGCGCTGTGTGCATGAATAATAAATTACGAATTTTACAAACATTTCGCCAAAAACAAATCAGAAAACTTGAGCTAAACACGTTTTTCGAAAATATTTTATTTTTCGAGAGTTAATTAATAACCCAACGCAGAATTCATAATACTCATGTAAAATCAATTAATACGTTAATCTGAAAACTGAAATAAATGAAAATAAAAAAATATTTTTACCAATGACGTAATTGCAAATTTAAGCGAGTTGTTGGAAATGTCTGCTTCTGTTTGTGTTTTCAAGTCAAGAGCTTAATATTTGGAAAGTAAAGGATCTGACTAATGACAGTATTGGCTAAATTAATTATGGAGGAGAAACTCGTGAAAATCAGAAATGATAATTTTGCATTCAGCAAAGATTTAATTAAATTTGAAACAAAAATAAGCATTTGGTATAATCACCCTTCAAAGGAGTCAGTTCCTTATTTAAATAATTAATTAACCTGAACTGAATTAGGTCTACCTCTAATTAGCTAATAAAAACTCACATAAATTTGTGCGACAGCGGTTATGTTTTCAACTCTCCTGAAATGTCTCAGAAGTGATGAAAGAAACTCAATTAACGTACAAATCAACAAGAATTTAGTACTTTTGCGAACTTATAGTTCAAGCATAATGGGAGTTATCCTTTCAAGTTCTGGCACGTAGGCATAATGTAATCATGGTGCTGAATACATCCCACATAAATATTAAATATTAGGAACGGCTTTAATGCGATGATTTATTTTTAATTCGGATTTGAATTGCATTAGCCGGGCGTGTAACGTTTGAAACGAATAATTAGTCATAGCAGATTAATAATCCGATGGTTGTGAATATTGGATTAACATTTTCGTATTGAATTTAACCCACATAAGATTCGAAACGCATCAATACCCAATACTTGCATGTTGTACCGTATAAATTATAGAGCAAGCTGAAATTGTTTGTAATTTGACATAACGTATAAGTGGGTAATTGTCTCTAGTTAACATTATCATTGCTACAGAGCTCCATTATAACAATTTGTAACTTGGTATCTTTTGTTGCAGGTAAACCATGCAAGGACAAACATTACCGTATCCAGTAATTCCTCGAAGTCCATAACAAGATGTCGTGGTACCCGACAATGAATAAATAACCACATTGTGAGAAATTTCAGGACGTCCTTAATTCCTTCAAGTGAAACCGAAAGTTTACTGTTCGGTGCTAGTCTTTTGAAACCTGTCAAATCTCTTTTTCAAATCCCCGCGATATTATGGATCCTTTCTTCGAAAGATTATCCAGGAATTCAAGCCCTAAACAAACACCAATTCCGTCGCACCAAAACCGCCAGAGATAACTCTATAAAACACCTATAAAATATAAAACCATCAAATAAACAAACGCAGGCGACAATAGCTTGAGCAAACATGGCCCAAAGACCCTCCAACATTTTTTATTATCCTTTTATCGGGCTCTTAGCCACCGAGCGCTAATTGTTTCGATAAACAAGGAGCATCATCTGCATAAAAGGGAAATTTTCGGAATTGGTCCAAGGACGTGCCCTCGTACCCTTGTTGCGGCGTAACTAAATCGTCGGCTCCGAAGCAAATCGCCGCTGTATTTGACACCGGTCGTTCTTTGGAAGAACGTTAATGGTGAGTATTGAAAGGGAAACTCAGGTGGTCCAGAACAGGATTTGGGCCAGCGAGGTCGCTCGGAATAAATCGTTACTGTCACCGGATGTAAGTAGGTTTTTAAGGGCAACTTGGGAAAATAACCCTTTGTAGATGTACCGCTACATCCCGAAAACATGCTCGCCTTTGTATCTTTCCTATTATGGCATGCGACCGGTTTTGTTTGTGATTAGCGGAGTGCTTTTTCCTGTTTTTGTTACAGGCTGTGAAAATGTAGGCATAATTGTCGGGCAAATAAATACGTGTTGACGTGAAATTATTCCATTGATTAATTTGAATACAATAATTTTGAGTTTCAGATGTAATAAAATAAAATTATGCGTGGAGTAACGCTCATTGTTCTTTCCTGTTTATTACATTTAAGCGTTCGACTGGAAAATTTTGTTGTTGCGGTGTTTTCATTAAAATTAACGCTGTCAATTATGTTTACCATCCATTGTACCGTACTTGTTATGATTACAAATAATCCAGGAGTTAAATTTAGTTTCACTGTCAAAAGTTTTTAGCACTTGTGAACGCTACTGGTGAAAAAAATCTGTAACTTGCCAAACGGTATTTTTTGATAGTTACTATCTATTTATGACTTTATTATGAATTTGTTTCTAATGGAGCATATACAGAGTGTCACATTAAATTATCACTGGAAAAGTAAAAATTGTCCAAATCTGTCTAGTGCCGTTATAAATCAATCTTGTCCAGATAAGAAAGCAGAAGTCAGTCAATGCCCTCTGAAATGTGGCAATAATTTATAAGCAATTCGGACATATTTTGACATTCTTAATAGACTGTATTGCCAAAGACACTTTCCCTAACTTGCATTTAATATAAAACATTTTCCAGTTGAAAGTAATTTAACGCAATAATTTTAGTAGCAACAAAAACTAAACAACACGATTTTCCCAAACCCATGAAATTAGATTAAGACATTTCGTGCAGCTGCCACCTTGATCGTCAAATTTAATGCAATTCTTTAAGGTTGTTGATACGCTGAAGTAAATGGATGAGAAGTAGCATCGATCTGAGCTCCACAAGAATCAGTGGCAAAATAATGCCCTGTAGAGAATACAGTCGAGCACTTCTTCGTTTTATATTATTTCTAAATGTGCTCAATCTTCTTGAAAGATACATTTTCGTTTATAAAATTTTGTAACCTAGTGTTAAATTTTATGCAAGTGCTTCAACCATTCTGTTTCATCAATTTTGCAGAAATAACATTATATGAACACAGTTCGGTGCTTGTTGTCCTTGAATCATTGAACGTATTTTGTAAAACAATGCAACAGGTCGTTTTTTCGTAATACCGGCAGACCGTCATTTTAACTATTGATTTAAATGGAATACTAATCGAGGTACTTCTAATCCATTCTGCAGAGTAACAGTGTCGCTATGAATTTTTTCAACTTTTTGTTTATTGAAATTGGAAAAAAAGATATTTTGTAATTTTAAAAATTACATCCTGATTCTCCTTTTCAAATTTTCTATCAGAACTAGACATACTGTCTGTACTTTTTTATATTTCGGTATGTTTTACACTAAGGTCAACAATTTCTAGCGCTTATTCTTTGAATATAACCGATTTAAGGGGGTTATTATCCTTTGGATTTAAATTTACTACTAATATTATTGCTATTGGTCTTCTTTGATAATGAAACATTCGCTGTCTTTGCCTTCAGTTGCTGAGTCGACTACGGTCTAGTATAAAATCATATCCTTCAGTATTCGACTTTTATTTACTAACTTAAATAACATTTTAGTTCCGGGATGTAGGGCTCTAAAGCACCAAAAAAGTTTAATCTTGTAAAAATTGTTGTAAAAACGAATATACTGTTACGAAATAAACCCATGCGACCTCTCGGTACGACGCCTATGGGCCGTCGAGAGATTTTTAGTATGTGCGGTGATTATGGGTCATCGTCGGTGACGGTAGCTAGGCGGCGTTCCATAAAAACAAGTCAGAAGCGGGTTACCGGAAGTCGCGATTGCGGCCCAGAAAAACCTCGAAGCGGCGTTCTCGATCCATCGAGTGAAACGTATAGGTTTAAATTGAGGCCATCGTCGAGAACGATTATTATTGAGTCGAGTCGAGTCCAGCGAATGTTGAGAGAAGCCAGCCAAGTTGCGCCGGAATTATTTTGTACATAATTGCTGTGTAATTAGACGTGTAAATTTGAGTTACTAAGAAATAAATTGTTGAGTTTTACCCACGCCGATTTTCTTCACTGATCAACGTAACAATGCAATGAACCAAAAACTAAGTATGGTCTCGATTAGAAATTAAACTCCCTAATGTGGTAATAGAATCACTAAAGATCAAATATTAACTGCAGATTTATATTCCCTAAAAAACGAGTATATTTCAGATAAAAGTATATTTTATAATTGTTATTTGTAAGTACAAGTCGTATTGTTAAATTTATCAAAACTGATGCAAATTGTATACAAGGTGAGTTATTAACCTCCTGGTCCCCTTTATTTGATTTTTGAAATTTTAAAGCGACGTTGCCACGTTAATCTAATTTTCTTGAATTTTATAGCAATGCAAGGGCTTTTAAAAAATCGCTATAATGTTATTTTTAAGATCTGTGTTACATAATGTAATGTTTATTAACGGTTAATATATCTTTACATAGATTTAAATATACGTATATGTGTTGCAATATTGTACGGACGATAAGCAGAGGTATGCACATTGTAGTGGTATCAATTATATCAAATTTTAATATACAGAGTGGTTATAAAAAATTTAAATGTCACAGTTTTGAAACATCGTTGTTTCAGTTTTTTGTTACTACCCCTTACTTTAACTTTTGTTCTCTTTCTTTCAATATCTCCGTGTGTCTCTCATCAAAACAGTAAAAAATTGCAATGACTATCGACTTTAAATTTAGAAAATAATTAACAAAAACAGGAGGCAGTAATAAAATACAAGCTGTTCTATTTGAAATAACTAAAATATCGATTTTTGAAAATTGTAATATTTTTTATAAACACTGTGTATATTTGTCTAAATTTTATTTATTATTATTTTGTGAATTCGTCCATTCTTAAAAAAATTAAAGGAAGTAGTAATAATGTAGTAACCTGTGATTTCAAAAGACTAAGTTGTGTGCAATGCGTCAAAAACAGGACATTTAGTGGCTCACCCTGTATATGTATTGTTAGCCTTCCAACGAAAGTGAACTTACGAATCTCCCACCACCTGTAACAACGTAAGCAACAAAGATGTGTCTTCACAGATTGATTTAAATACTTGCAGAAGTGGGTTTAATGAGTCGTCAGAGTCACATATTTTCAACTGACCCACGACCACATTTTTTTTAAACGAGTTTTATCCTCTTGAGTTTGGTATAATGATGACAAGACAGAAAGTTTTTCAAAACTTGATAGAATTGGCTGGACTTTTTTAGTCTTCTATTTCTGTAACACCAGCAGAAATCGTCCATCACTGAATAATAAAAATATCGCAATTTTTATTTTTTGGTAACCTCTGTAAAGTAAAAACCAGTGTCTTAAATAACTTTTTTGACTTTAATTTTTCAATTCTGATTTGCAATTTTTCGAGTTTTCCAGTTTAAATTTTTTAGTTTTTAAATTATCAAATTTGATTATGCAGTTTCATTTGGAATAACCCTAATATTTACATTAAAAGAGGTGATGTCATCAAAATTGTGATGGGGATGAACAGACACATTTTGATTAGCGACTTATCAAACAATAATAACCCCAAAAATTTTTAATTTCTAAAATAAACTGTAAAATTTAATTCCATTTTGATTTTTTTTTTTGGAAAATCTGTACTAGCAAGGTCAAAAATATGGGTGCTCTGATAAACCATAAGTGTATAGGCATAATATGTTGTACAATGATTAGCGTTTACCACGTTTACGATAACCTTAAACCTTTTTCACGATTTCAGAACAGTTAGTTTTACATTCCCTAAGATAAGTTTTCATTTTTTTTTGTATAATTGTTGTAGCTAAAAAATTAGGAAAATTTAAATCTGATTAAAAATTTTGAGGTAAAAGGTAAGGAAAATTAAGTCGGATTTACCTAGCAAGATTTTGAAATGACGTAATTAAGTTGTTGGTTGGAATAAAATAGACTAGACAGATCGAAACTGGACACCAGACATATCTAGAAGATATGAAACATGGAATATAAATATAAAATATTGTATAGTAGCTTACTATTGGTCATCTAATCGTTGTTATTCACTACCACTATACACACTCAGGCGGAGAGAAAACATGAAACTTGACAAGAAAACACAACCTTTTGTGGGGGATTTTTTGTGTTTTAGACAAGGATCACTTGGTCGCCAATTCAGTTTTGGTTACAAATGAGCTTGCTACCCCTCAACATGTGGAGAGGATTTGTTGATGTTAGTTGTGTTGTTGGGATTTTTCGTGTTGACTCATACGCCAAAGTTCACGAAACTTCCTGGAAGAGGGCGGTCGCTAGACGTCGTGTCAACCTGAAAAAACAAAGAAAACAAAAGGTGTTTAGTAGGAAGAATTTCACGATTTACCATAGGCAGATTTTGAGGTAAAGTAGAGTCCGGCAAACAGTGAACTCTGACTTATTGCAAACCAAAAATAAATCGCTTAAGATTATGGCAATGATCCTTAATGATAATATACAACAGGTTCCTTTCCTGAAAGAAACAAAGGTTCGATGAAACAGCGGGTAGCGTTGTATTATTTCGTTGATATAAATATATGCACACCATGGGACTTGCTTAATTTTTTTTAAACGGAAGTAAAAAAATGCATATTTCATTAATTCAAAGTTTAATTATAAGTATATATAAATTTTACATTTCTTATTTTATCTGAGTTTGGGTCATTATTTTTGAATGTCCGTAACTGAATAAATCAAGTATAGTGTTTTTTTTTTCTTGTAGTCACTGAACACACAAAAAAAAATGATGAAAAAAGACCCACTGGAAAATTTTTATAATT